CATGACCTGAGCCGAAGGCAGACGCTTAACCATCTGAGCCTTTATTCTATATTTTTTATTCTAAGTAGTGATTCCTCACTACTGAAGAAGTAGCTTTCTCATACCCTACCCTAGATCCTATGTATATTTGCACTGTAACTGGTGGTGTCTCTAGCTATTCCTAGCCCAGTGTGAGACCTGGAAATTTTTCTGTCTGCTCCTTTCAGGTGATTGTTTTCCTGATCTCAAGTAGCTTTCCCACCTGCATACACTGGTCAGTATTCATACACAGGGTCAGGACAGGGTCAGAGAGGGAATGTCCGCAGAACTTCTGAGCATGCGTGCTCTCTCTCACTTTCTCTCTCCCCCCTCCCTTTTTCTCTTTCTCTCCCCAGCTCTCTTCCCTTCAGCATTTTGTTCTGGAAACTCCAGCTATCTTGGCCTCCATGAACTCCCAACTCTTGTCTCATGAACTCAGGGAGCCCACCAGGCTCTGCCTGGGTTCCTTCTTCCTTTCTGCACCGTAGGCTAGAGACTTCCTCTAAGCAATAATTAGGCAATCATAAGGCTCACCTCATTTGTTTCCCCTTTCTCAGGCATCGTTCTCCTGTGCTGCCAACTGTTCAATGTCTGAAAACTATTATTTCATATAATTTGTCAGGTTTTTTGGTTGTTTAAGGCAAGAGGGTATATCCAGTCCTTATTACTCCATCTTGATCAGAAGCTAAAGCCCAAGTCCTTAGTTTTGAAAATGTGTTCTTTGTCTTTACTTGAACTCAGGTTTCTGTGAACACAAGTGAGGATCCCTGGGCTTCAGTGTTCATTCCCAGAACTAGGAGACCACTCCAGGTTCATGGAGCCCCATCCCCTCTCTGCACAGCTAAGAAGTCTCAGGCTGAGAGCATCAGGGATTTCCCAAGGTCAAAGTTTTCCAACACAGAATTCCTGTCCTAGATAACTTGCAAAGTGATTAATAAAACAATGATTCTTGTAGGGGAGGGAGGTATGAAGTCATTATAAATATTTTAAGATTCTAATCTTTTCATCTCCCATTTCTACAAAGTAAAACTAATAATCCATAGTACGTAGAAATTTAACCTTGTCAATATGTAGTAGAGGTTGTAGCTTTGAATGTAAAAAGTTTGAGAGAATTAGGGTGTGTTGCATATTTAACAAACATTGATTGAGACCCCAATTTATGTCGGGCCCAAAGGCAGGTGCTGGAGATTCAAAGGTGGATCAGCCAGAGTGTCTGCCCTTAAGAAACTCAGAGTCCATCTGGTGCCTCGATGAGGGAAACAAACAGATTCTATCTTAATGGCCAGCATAGAGATGAGGAGGCCCCAGAGAAGGGGTGCCCAAGATAGAGGCTGGAGACTTAGGAAAAATCTCCCAGAAGAAATGATCTGAGCAGAATCAGGAAAGAAGAGAGGATTAGAAGGCCTCAAAGTGTGTGTTTGTTTGGGCACAGGGATGTAGCTTGCCTCCCATTATTGTATTTTTTGTTTCATCATTTTGTGCTCATAAAAATGGTTTCAGAATTCTTTGATGTCACTTGGAGAGTGTCTTGGCCACATGTGCCTGAAACAGAGACTGTCACATAGCTTGATACTGTTTGTTGGATGAATGCATGGGTGAATGGATGGATGGGTGGATGGATGGAGGGATGTATGGACAAACAAACAGACAAGCTGTGCTCAATTGAACACTCTCCCCCCACAAGGTGACTGTGGACTCACAGCCTGTCTGGCCCCCTGTGAGCAGACACGGATTCAGAATTGAGGACACAGGCCACATGTATGTGATCCAGACTCCGTCACACATCCAGATCCAGTGGCTCCACAGCTCAGGACTCATGATCCTGGAGGCCAGCAAAGCCAGCGAGGCCCAGGGCCGTGGCCTATGCGGTGAGGTGGGACCCAGCTGGGGGAGAAGGGATGCTTCTTGGGTCCACCTCTGCCCCCAAACACAGGTTCCCCTGTGTGAACCCAGGGGAAGCTAGGACAGAAGGCCAGGCCAGAGGTGGAACCAGCACAGCTGCCAGGGCAGAGAGACCTAGTGTCTGGTGTTCTGGGGCTGAAGCCGCCAGCAGGGAGATGGCGCAGAGCTCTGGCCTCGGCCAGTTGTCACTTTAATTGGGATTGTTTGTCAGCTTCCCTGATAGCTTCCTAATACCAGATAATCCTTCCTGTCTGCATAGACGTGGGCACTTCACAAAGCACTTCCACACTCTGATCTCACTTATTGCAGGTCATCCACACAACAACCCTAAGAGATGACCACTGAACTAAAAAAGAAAGGGGGCTCAGAGAGGTTAGGTGGCTTGCCTCAGCTCACACAGCTGAGCTGCCACAACACTTAGAACTAGGCTCTTCAGACCACAGCATGACTATAGGAGCATGCCCTAAGGGACTCATGTATTTTGATAAGGAAAAGGGGTGCAGGGGGAGTCTGAGTGTGGACTGCTGCTCCCCCACAGGGAACTCCATGACAGATTGTCATGATTATGATGATGGAAGATATAGGAGCACTTATGTGTTCCATAAACACATAAATCTGCATCCATACATCTGCACCATACTCGCACCCCTGTATTCAAATTGCCCTCCAGACGTGAACCAACGCGTGTAAGTCTGCTCCCTGCTCATTACTTACCATGTACCAGTCACAGGACAGATAGTAGGCAAAACAGACAAAGTCACCGTTTTATGAAACTTCTGTTCTTACAGACTTACTGAAACAAGCATCTCTCTTTACACACACACACACACACACACACACACCCAGGACCACCATCACTCCACCATCTTTTTCTCACCATTTCTTGCTTCTACTATTTATGCCTGGCAGGGAGTGCTGTGCTCAGCAGTAATCTCCTCCCTAGGATACCTCCGTGACACCCTTCAGTGACTCAATGCCAAGACCAAAAATGCAACCACGGGGACCACTGATAAAATCTGAAGGTTTTGTAGTAAATCATGCTTTATATTCATGAAACTGGTGGCTGGAGGTATGAGAGCAGAAGTCAGCTAGTTTATCTCTATTTTATCCAAACTAACACTTAGTGTCCCAGGCACCCTGCTGGGCAACCAGGGGGACTCCTGAGAAAGTGAGAAAATGAGTCTAAAGGAAAATGAATCTTTGCACTCAGAGCAAGACAGCCCAGCAAACCAAAATCCGTTCTACAGAACTGGGAAGATCGTGGACGAGTCCATCTGAAGGGCTCTTGAAAGAAAGACTTCTGAGAAAGTGTTTCAGGCAGAGGGAGCAGCGTAAGAAGGTCAAGGGCAGCAAAGTGTGTGTTTGGAGCCTAGAGCGTGAGAGATGAAGCTGGAAGTTAAGGTCATGTTAGAAGCTGTGACAGAGAAACTTCAGCCCCACCCCCATTTCAGTGCCTTCCAACCCGACAGAAGTTTATTTCTGGCACACACAAATTCCCAAGCGGGACTCCTTCCATCTCGTGGCTCTGCCGTTCTCAGCACAAGCTTCCAACTCCACTGCAGGAAAAAGAGTCAAGGAGTGTTTATGGACCGGGCCCCGCCGTGGTGCCCTCACCCTCACTCTCGTCCTGTTGGCTGGGCCTCAGCATGGGCTCCCCAGCCCCAGGAGAGCCTGGGAAAAGCAGGCTAGTGAACTGCCTGGGAAGAAGAACAAACAGGTGTTACACTTAGTAATCTCTGCTAAGGCAGATTTTTTTGGAATAACTTTTAATTTTCATACAATGTCAGAAATAGTATAAAAACTCCCATGTACTTTTTACTCAGATTTAGCAAGTGTTCACATTTTGCCCCATGTGCTTTTCCTGCCTCTATGTGTGTGTATAAAATACACATATATGTCTACATACATGCATATGTATGCATGCGTATATACATATGTGATTTTTATATATGCACTTTTCTATGTTATGCAATTCATATATATATATGCATTTTTCTGAGTGATTTGAAAGCACGTTTGAGACGTCATATCCCTCTATCTCTAAATACCTTGGTGTGTGTCTCCTAAGAACGATGACATCTTCCTGCACAGCAGATTTCTTAGCTTCTCTGTGCCTCATTTCTCTCATCTATAAAAGGGGGATAATAGTAATACCAGCCTGAAAGAATTGTTGTAAGAAATATGCAAAGTGACATCTGGGGACCTGGGAGTGGTGGTGATAATTACAGCTACTGGGATAATCTGCCCCTCTCCAGGTATCTGTGATGGGGATGCGGCCAACGACCTCAGCCTGGAGGATGGCTCTGTGGTGGGTGAGGCTGAGGACCCCGCTCCCTTTCTGGACAGTTGGCAGGTGCCCAGCTCCCTGACCTCTGTGGGCCAGACCCGCTTCCGCCCGGACAGCTGTGCCACAGCTGACTGCTCGCCCTGCCTTCGAATGGTGTCCAACCGCACCTTCAGCGCCTGCCACCGCTTTGTATGTACCAGCTGGGCCCGGTGTGGGGGGGCCTCCCAGGTCAGGAGTAGCAGCATCCACCTGCAGAGGGCAGCTCCCCAGAGGTGTTGAGCCTGGGACCAGATCAGGAGTCTTCAGAAGCTGGTTGTTGCCCCTGGGCAGGGCTGGGGGCTGGGGGGGGGTGGCCCAGGCCCTGGGATGTGGGGAATCAGGGTAAGCAGCGCTGTCGGATGCATGCGCCCAGGTGCCCCCAGAGTCGTTCTGTGAGCTGTGGATCCGGGACACCAAGTACGTGCAGCAGCCCTGCGTGGCACTGACGGTGTACGTGGCTATGTGCCACAAATTCCACGTGTGCATCGAGTGGCGACGCTCTGACTACTGCCGTGAGTCAGGGACCGAGTGGGAGTGGGGGGGATGGGCGACTCCTCCGTTGCTTCTGAGGCTTCCGCCCCTCTTAATTATTCATTCATTCATTCATATTAATAATTCAAGAAATATTTTATAAATACATCTCTAAGCAAACAAATAAAGTAACAAATTTATTTTTATTATAATTTAGATTAATAAGTCAAATGAATATTAGCTGCTTATTATTTAATTTATCTGAATCTCCTTGCTTCATTTGTAAAATGAGGAAAGTAATAATAGCTCCCCCTAGGGTTGTTTTGAGGGTGACATGAGGTAATGTGTGCGGAGTGCCTCACGCAGGCCCACCACATGGTTACCATCCAGGAAGTATTACCTTTCTCTTAATTTCTTGGGCATCTTTCTCTTCGTTCAGTCTCTCCCCTCCTTGCCTGAGGGAGGGAGATCCACCCCCTCCTCACTCCGTTAGGTTTGCATTTGGGGGGTAGACAGGGGTGGACTGGCCTAGGGCAGTCTGATTTATAAACGTGGACACATCCAGATAGGCCAGAAGCAGCTCACAGGAAGACCACGCCTAGAGTATGACAGATAAAAGATGAAAAGACAAAGTCATCTAGAGTAGTGTTTTTCACAATGTGGGTATGAAATCAACTTTGGGGGTCAACACCATATTAAAAATATGCAACAGAATAGGAAATGCTAGTGTGTACTGTACCTAGAAAGAGTAAATATTGTTTTATGAAAAAGTTTGCTTCAATATATCAGTAATGCTCTAAAAAAAAGGTACTATGTATATATATATACAAATATATATATATATGCCTATCTCAGTTATTCTCAATCAATCCCAGTAATTCTCAATCAATCCTTTAAAATCACCAGGGAACTTTGAAAAGTATGAATGCTGGGCCCCACGATAAGAGATGCCAGTTCAGTTGCTCTGAGGTAGAATCCTGGCAAGGGTATTTCCAGGCTCCCAAATGATTCCTCCGTAAGGAACCCTGTTTGAGGTTTGAGGACCACTGTTCTGCATGCCCATGTGTATTGGACCACAGTGTAAAAATCCACTTTTTACCATCAAGAAAATTTGAAAACACTGGTCTAGAGCAAGGATTTGGCAAATATTTCCTGTAACGGGCCAGATAGTATATAATTGAGGCTTTTTAGGCTTTATGGTCTCTGTCAAAATTACTCAGCTCTACCCTTGGGGTGCTAAAGCAGCCAGATACAATAGGCAAGTGACTGGGCGGGGCTGTGTTTCAATAAAACTTTATTTGCAAAAATAACGTAGGAGGCTGCATCTGGCCGTGGGTTGTACTTTGCTGCCTCCTGATCTGGATAAGGGAGGCTGTGACACCAAACCCCTTTGCACTCTCTGCTGAGGCGCAGATGATGCTCTGAGGCCCCTCCTCACTCTGCCTGGGGTCTGAGCTGGGCCTGCTGCCCACTGTGCCCCTGCAGCCTTCCTGTGCTCCAGCGACTCCATTTACCAGGCATGTGTGGCAGCCTGCGAGCCCCCTGAGTCGTGCCAGGATGGGCTGCTGGGCCCGCTGGACCCAGAGCAGTGCCAGGTGCTGGGCGAGGGCTGTGTCTGCTCTGAGGGCACCGTCTTGCACCGGCGCCACTCGGCACTCTGCATCCCCGAGGAGAAGTGTGGTAGGTCCCTCCAAAGCTGACCTCACACCAGGGTCCCCTAATCCCACCTGCCGCCCGTGGCCGAGGCCCCTCTGCCCCGCTCCAGGTCTGCTTTGGGCATGGTCAGTGTCCCAGGGAGGGTCGAGCCGGGACGGTCTGGGTCCCCCCACCCGCCTCAGCGCCCCGTGCCCCGCCATGTCCCCCACTGCAGCCTGCACCGACAGCACGGGGGTGCCTCGGGCCCTGGGGGAGACCTGGAACAGCTCCCTCAGCGGATGTCGCCAGCACCAGTGCCAGGCTCCCAACACCATCGTGCCAGTGGACTTGGGCTGCCCGGAGCCCCGCCCCGAGACCTGCCCACGTTTTGGGGAGGTGGCCTTGCTCCTGCCCACCGAGGATCCCTGCTGCCTGGGGACGGTTTGCGGTAAGTCCCGCCCTTCACTTCCCTGGACCTCAACCGCAAGATGGTTAAAAGGCTGCAGCTCCACCTGCTGACCTTGATGGATAGGACAAGGCCTGGGAAAATGAAAGGGTCTTGTGGGGGGTGTGTTGTGAGGAGTGGAGAGCCCCGCCTGGGGGACAGGAGCCCCGCTCATGAAGCAGTGTGGGGTAGGGCTTAAGGGCAGGCAGCCTGGACGACTCTTCCTCCACCGCTTTGCAGCCTCGTGACCTCAGCCGATGATTTAACGTCTTCTGTGCCTTAGTTGATTCTGCGGTAGCACGAGGTTGATCATAGTCCACACTTTCTGGGTTGTTGTGAGAACCTAGAAGTTGATACTGATCTAGGACAGCTGCTGGTACATGGCCCATCTCGAGGAGTATTAACTACTAATGCTCTTCCGTCGAGCCCTGGACCTTCTGTGTGACCCTCAGAGGCCCCTTCCAGGAACGTGGGTCCTGGGGGCAGGGAGGATGGAGGGAGAAATGAGGACAAGCTGTCTAGGTGCTGGGCAGTACTGGAGGCCGGGGGCGGGGGGAGTCCCAGCCTCCAGGTGACAGGCCCTGTGGCCCCTGACCCAGTGTGTAACCAGACTCTGTGTGAGGGCCTCGCCCCTACCTGCCGCCCAGGCCACCGACTCCTCACCCACTTCCAGGAGGACTCCTGCTGCCCCAGCTACAGCTGTGGTGAGAGGTCCTGAGGAGGGGAGCACAGGGGGAGGGGGGGCCCTGCTGCTGGCGGAGGGGAGCTCTGGGGACTGGGTTCTGGCTGGGGATTGGGGCAGAGCCGGCGTCGGGGCTCAGGCATGGCCAGACAGGGTCTGTTCCCAGCACCCAGCACTTAAGTTCTGTCTTTTCTGCAGAGTGTGACCCAGCCCTGTGTGAGGCAGAGCTGGTCCCCAGCTGCCGCCAGGACCAGATCCTGATCGCGGGTCGCCTGGGGGATTCGTGCTGTACCTCCTACTTCTGCGGTGAGTGGACATGCCAGCAGATGTCAGCATGCTCAGATGGATCCCAGCCATCCCCTTCCTCACCCATCTGCCGGGGCGGCTGGGAGGAAAGGGTGGGGGCCTCCAGGTGGACTGGGCACAGGAGAAGGGTGAGAGTCCTGTTCAGAACAAAGGGAAGGAGGAAGAGGAAACCAACCTGGGCTTCACCCCATCCATTACCAGCAGGAGGAACCTGGTGTGTGTTCGGTGTAAGACTTGAGGTAGATAGGAGGATCTAGATTCTTGCTCCAGAACAGGCCCCAGGAGGCCATGAAAGACTACTTGAGTCTAGCTCCTGTCACAGCTGGGTTTTAGGTACCCCTCCCCACCAACCCAGCAACCTGCTCTGTACCAAGACCCCATGAGGGGGACTGCCTGTGACGGCTGTGGCCCCTCTCCCCCTGCTCAGCCTGTGGCGACTGTCCAGATCCGATCCCCGAGTGTCAGGAAGGAGAGGCGCTCACGGTGGACAGGAACACCACAGAGTTCTGCTGCCCTCTGTACCAGTGTGGTGAGTCCCAGCTGGACACGGGGACCTCACCACAAGGGGCTCCAGGGACATTTATGTGCCACGGGGGCCCCTTCACAATGTCCTCCCTCGGGACCGATGGGAATTCAGCAGGGAGCCACAGGGAGCCCCCAGGGAGTGAGCACGGAGTAGCCAGACCTGTGACGGAGGAGGACGCTGGGCCAGGCCGTGGGAGCCAGATGGTGCAGGGTCGAGCCTGGGACACGGATGGCTCTGAAGCTTTAGGAAGAGGTCCCCTGTCCCCTCCCTCGGAGCCCCCCAGGGCCAGGGGGAGGCCTAGGTTGAGGCCACCCCAACCCTCCTAGCACTGATTCACAGTCCTCGTTCTCTGACCCAAGGCCCCCGCTTCAGGGCCCCTCTTGCCCTGTTTTACCCTGGCACCCACACGTGGAGCCTGCATCCCAGAAGACCCTGCATCTCGAAGCCTTGCAAGCTCTTTTGTGTTGTCGTCATAAATAAGAGCGGACCCTTCCTGACATCTTTACAGGACATAGTACCTTGATACAGTGTGTACTGTGTACCTAGTGCCTTAATAGTGCCTAGGAAACGTAGTAGAGCCGGCGCCAGGGACTTTAAGAAAACCTGATGGATGAGAGTTAACAGACTGGTTGAATTTAAAGATGACTCCACTTACAAAAACTGCACTCCGATTATAGGAAAAACGTGAGCGAACAGTGCACGGAGCAGTGTAGGTGAAGACTATCTGCCAGGAGACCCCAGGGGCAACCCCGACGGCTTCAATGTCAGAAACCAACTCTGGAACAGTGTAGACTTCCATGGAGCGTGCCCAGATGAGCTGGCCACACTGCGCCAATTGGCTCCACCTCGGGTCTCCGAGGCCACTCGTCCCCAAGTGTTCACAAAGCTGATCTGAGCGGAGGGTCACCATCCTTCCTCTTGTCTTTCCTCTCCTCTTTCTGTGTGTCTCCTCCTCTGTCCTCTCTGGCCTCCCTCTCTTGTTCACATATCTCTCTGTGGTTCTCAGGAGGAAGCCTGGAAATGTGGAATGAGGACAGGCACGGCCAGCCAGTCATGGTTTGGCGTCCCAGTTCTGCCATTTACTAGCTGTGTGGCCTGGGGCAAGTCACTGACTCTCTGAGCCAAGGTTCCTCACGTGTCCAGTGGTGCTAATAATACGTGCCTTGAGGGATCTCGTGAAGACTAGAGATAATATATGTGAAGTGCCTGATGGCCCTTGGCATACAGTAGGTGCTCAGTAAAGGGAGGCTATTGATATTACTACTTCTCCCAATCCTCGTTGTGCTTTTATTATAGAAGCACTATATACACCTCATAGAAGGTACAGAATCCAAGTAAATGCAAGCAAGTGAAAATACTTTCTTCCTGCTTCCCAGCTATTCCACTGTCAACACGTTAGATTACATCCTTCCACATATTCTCGATGCCTTTGTATGTGTATGTGTTTCTAACCAAAATAAGCTCACACTGTACATGCTTTTTTCGATTTTTTATTTGTTTCATTGTTTGTATTAAAGCTAATTAATATACAATGTTAATTAGTTTCAAGTGTACAACATAGTGATTCAGCAAATGTACACATTCCTCAGTGCTCATCACCATGAATGTAGTCACCATCTGTCACCACACAGTGTCATTATAATATTGTTGTCCATATTCCTTGTGCTGTACTTTTCATCTCCGTGACTTGTTTATTTTATAACTGGAAGTTTGTATCTTAATCTCCTTGACCTATTTCACCCACCCCCCCACCCCCGACAACCACCAGTTTGTTCTCTGTATTTGAGAGTCTGTTTTTTGTTTGCTCATTTGTTCTGTTTTTCAGACTCCACATATAAGTGAAATCATATGGTGTCGGTCTTTCTCTGTCTGACTTAGCATAATGCCCTCTGGGTCCGTCCGCGTTGTCACAAAGGTGTATCTGCTCTTTTTTAACCCACTGTTTTCAGTTCATGTTAATACATTTTCAAGTTATATCCTACCCCATCCAGGGTTTTCCTGGTTTGTCCACTCCAGGACCACACACTCCTGTTTTGTCTCTTAGCTTTGAACCTATCATAGGTGCCTTTTTCTGCATGACACAAAATTATAGTTTGGGCTGGGTCCCGCAGAAAAGTCCCACCTTCTGGATTTATCCATCGCTTCCTCTTGGAACTGTTTACCTGGCTCCCCCATCCTCTGTGCTTCCTGTAAACCAGAAGTCAGATCTAAGACTCAGTGGATTCAAGTTACAAGGGTGGGGCTCGACAGACACGAGCTTCACCGTATGTCACATCGTGAGACACAGACTGACTGGTGGAGACTCTGACCGAGGCTAACGTGGGCCCTGGATGAGGGTGGTGACTGTTGGACGCCTCCATCTTGCATTTACAGTTTTCCTCCTTCAACCAGAAGGGAACCCATGACTTTGACACTAGACGAAGGTCCTACTCCCCCTCCACCTCATAATTTTTTGAGACATCAGTTGATAACACTTACCCATGCCTATATATATAT